GTACATGCATCACTAAACAATGTGGATAAACTTAGATCTCTTGTTGCTAAATGCTATAAAAATATGCATCCCTATGGGCAGGGAAACTTAGGAGTTATGTATAGTGTTCAGTGTAAAAAATTTGATATGCATAACTATGTGCGTCGTATAGGTAAGTATTAGTATAAATTGTACTTTACTGGAATTTTTTACATACTGTATAATTATAATTTATTATTAATTATTTTTTATAGAGCAATTTGAAGATGGCCAAACTTTAATTTTATGCATGCTTGATTTCCAAGCAAAAGCATTGCAAAATTTAAAGTGTTTTCAAATTGATTTAACATTCAAGAGAGTGCATGGGGATATTAACGAATTTGAAATCAATTCATATGATGAAACTCATAAATTAAGTAAATATTTTAATTATAAATTCGTTACTTATCTTTCTATTACAAAAAATTAACTTTATACTTTTTTAGTTTTATCCTATTGTCGTATTTATACCAATATATTTACAGCTGATGCATACCAACGCCTATTCACTCAACATTTTGAGGTGGTTGAAAATTTAAGTGAAATACCAGTAAAATTTTATCACATTGATGGTACAGGTTGGGAATGCATTCTTGGAGACCTTGACGCAGGTCAAGCAAAAGGATTAGGATTGGCTTTAGCAAAAAGAGATCCTAGCAAAAACTGGGAAGAACATCTAACATACATTTTTAAATCATGCTTGGTCCATTTTAATCGGTAAAAAATTTTTAAATTATAAACTTTGATATATAAAAATTTAACATATTAATACATTTTATTTTTAGTAATTTGATAGCTAAAAAATTTGATAATGAAGTATATCTATTAGCAAAATCCATTCCAACTAAATCTAGTGCTGAAGAAGTTTATGGATGTTTTGAAAAATTAGAATCATATAATAATCAACGTATAATGGGTAAATAATATTAATATAATTCATAAAAATTTAATTTTTTTAGTTTCATAATTTAATAATATTAAATACTCATATAATAGATTGGACTCAATATTATCGTCAACCCTATGTTTTGGCATCTTTAAATAAGCACATCTCAAATATGGAAAATGAAATTTGGGATCACCATGGAAATAATACTAATGTAGCTAAAGCAGCGCATGCTCAAGCCAACCGTGAGGGAAAGCAATTGAAACTTATTACAGCAATTATGAGGTTAGTGTTAATTATTATAATATATTTCAACTAGCATATTTTTTTAATTTTTAAATTCTTTTTAGAGGCAGACGGCTTGATGAAAGAATCTTTAAGACAGCTGAAATTAATGACAAATTTGGGATTCCATATACTAGAAGGGATAAAAGTGAGATTAAACGGAAGGCAAAAGCTATGACACGAAAAGGTAAATAATAATAATAAATATAATTTAACCATTTATTCTAAAAATTAATATTAATTCAATAGATACTAATAAAAGAAGTCAAAAGGAGACTTCTAATAAGGAATTAAAAAGTAAGCTTATCAATATAATATTCTTGTTTATTTATTAATTAATCATTTAATTTCTTTTAATTATATTAGAAAAAGTACCATTACAGGATGTAACTAATAGAGAGAAGCTGGAAAAAAAAGGAAAAAGAAAGGCGTCCACAAGTGAAAAAACCTCAAAAGCCAAAAGAAGTAGAATTGATATTAATGAAAGTGATAGTGAACGAGAAATTTCAAAATTAGAAATAGAAGAACGTAAGATGAAATTGGCAGAAAGACGTACAGCAGATCGTAAAGCCCAAGCAGAGATCGAAAAACTAGAATTGGAAAATCTTAAATTGCGCAAAGAACTTAATCTTGACTAATGTAATATTGAATATTACTAGGCTTTTTTATCATATCTATATAATCTATATAAATAAATTTAATTCCTTATGAGTGAATATTGTCATATCTTTGTAAATGTTTGTGTTATCACTAGAATTACATTAAAAAATATTAATTTTATTTATAATACTTCAAAATTTTTTTTTTTTTGCAAATCCTAATCTTATGTATGGCGAAAATAAGTATGCCATACATAGCATACGTTCATTTTTAATATCCATACATGTATGGATACAATAAAAGCATACATAAGCATACAATACATACAACGTCAAGCATACACTACATGTTTTATAATCACCTTACTAGAAACCCTATTAATTTCATAGAAAAGTCTCTAATTTCATACAAAAAAGCAAATACATTTCATACAATTTTTTAAATTTCTGCAATAATAGTATAATACTGTCCATACTCCATAGGTTATCATATTAATAGATAAACCTTTTTATTCTTAGAGCTGCGTTCCGTTACCTGTTTACTCAGATATACACGGAACTAATCCATGTTCCCTGTCACACATCTAAATAAAAATCTATAATAATTTCAAAATCTATAAAAACGGTCATATTCATGATTATAAATTTGTTATGACAATAATGTTATGTGGCTTCAAACTTAATAATTTTAATAAATGACAATAGTAAAAATGAAAAACTCTTATTTGGATCAATTTATATTACATATTGGTCAACACATATAGAGTAAAAAAAATTCTAATAGCAGCTATACGAATGATTTATTAATATATGTTTTGAAATTCATGTGCAAGAAATATTTCTATTTTTTCTTGGATAAGAATCAAATTTTATTATATTATTAATTATTGTATCCCAATTCCCAATTTTGCTTTAATCATAAAATCTTTATAATTATATATTATAGCTAGTGTCAAATTATAATTTCAGTAAAACAAATTATGCAATTCCAACTTGATTCAACCATGAACTTTCTGGCAAATACTGAAATTTTTTAAAACTTATTAAGATGTATTACAAATAAAAAACAAGTATATTTTATCAGTGAATAATTACCTCCATAAAAATATTTATAATGTCTTTAAGTGCATTCGAAGCAGTTGGTCTATTTTTTGGTTTTTTGTCTTGACACTTCGATGCAAATTCTTTAAGTTGTTTAGGCTTATTTTCGATATAACATGAATCAATTAAATGACCAACCCCCCATATATCAACTTTCTTATTATGTCTGCTAGTTAGTGTTTCAGGAGCATGTCCGGTTTCAGAAAAGTTTTTTAAAGGTTTTTTTACGACGCCTTTTCTTTCAGAACCAAAAGTTGCGTAATCAAAATCAATTAAAATAAATTTATCATTATGTAGAACAATATTTGGCCACCGGACGTCTCTATGCAATATTGGTTTTGGTTTAATATTATGCATTTCCTAGTTGAACATGAACATATTCTAAATGAATATTTGTTTATATAATAGCAATTGAGAATACATCACACCAAAACTCTACCTTAAGACATGTTAGAATACAAATTAATGCTCTCAATAGTTCATTGAGATCTTCGGGTTTTCGTTGTAATCCGCGTGGTTCCAAATGAACAGAATGCGAAGAGCAATGTTCCAATTTATCGGTAAACCTAACATTATTTTGCTATATAAATTGTTAGAATGTAACTTATAAAGAGTAAGTTTATTCCACTTACAGATAAAGTTGCATAAATTTCTTTTAAATGGACAACCGATCGTTCTTCTTTAAATATTTTCTTAACATGATACCCAAGTTCAACAATAGTTCCATTTTCTCGACGCAATGTAAGAAAATCTGGTGTATCTCTTGCGGGGCATAAATTTACTATAATAGGCAATAAACGACCTAAATAATAATACAAATCAGCGCTTTATGGAAATAATTTTAACTACAAAAGGTACTTACAAATATTCCGAAGGAGATTCATGGCGCGAAGCCTTTCCGAAAGTTCTCTTAAATTAAAATCGCCAAGTGTTTCAGATTTAACTTCCGGACGTGTTCTCTTATTATTTGACCAAATATTCTTTGATTCAGACTCAGTCAAAAGAACAAAAGTGACAATTTGACCAATAGCATAATACGCAAAGAGGTATGGAGCATCCCCATAGGTCCATTCTTTGAATTTATCAGTTAATTCTTTTGAAACATCTGCTGTAGAATTTTCCGCTTTTTCTTCTCCACGAAAAGGACAAATATTTCTCACTAGTATAACCAAGTCGGGGCGATTGCGACCTGTAAATTTTTTGTCAATATACAATATATTTCTATTCTTATTCTCTAAAAACAATTAACCATTCTTAAATTTACCTGTCGATGTTTTTTTGTTAGTATTTCGATCGAAAGCCATTGTTTCCAAACCAACAACACCTTTTCCAAGTGTTAATATCGTATTTTTAATAATATCGTCCCAAAAACCATGAAATGAGTCTTCGTTCTTTCCAACTGAAGAAGGAAAAATTAAACGTCCTATAAGTTTTGTAAATAACCCGGTACAATCCTTCTTTGTACTTTTTTCAAAATAAGTATCTCGTTCTTCTTCAGATATACATCCATTACCCTTAGTATGCATCAGAGAAAAGTTAGCAGGAGAAAGTGGTATTTTCACATCAGGTTTTTGATTAAGGAAATTCCTAATAGAAGTCTTATCGGGCAATTTACTAGGGGGTTTAACTAATTCTTTTACTATATCATCAGATATATCTTTTACTTCAGTAGATGTCTCTAAAGATAATGAAATATTGTAAATTTAACGAAACAACAGATATCAAAAATCAAGCCAGGACCAATTTTGTCACTACAAATTCCTTGTTCAAGAGGCAAACCATTGGGGACACTTACCAGTGGGGACTATGAAGATATGAATGTAATTTGTCTTAGGTTTTTTATCATCATTAAAATATTCTTTAAGTACATACGCAGGTTCCATCATCGTGCCCATTTTTTTAATCTCATCTTCGGAATAAATTGTATCTTTAAAGCTCTTAAGGTCGAGTTCGACTTTCCAAATATCCATTTTGGTCAACCCTTGAAGTTCTTTTTCATCAAGGAGAAGTTTTTTAAAGTTTGCAACGGTCAAAACATCAGAGTTGACTCGAACACCATTGATTTCAGAGTATTTGCCAATACACATAGTGATAACTTCATTAGAAGTTCGTCCTAGTTCCAAACAGTTTAATGATAATAACATTTTGTTTCTGTAAAAGCGATAAGTTCTTTAGAAAAGGTTTCAAGATAATTTGAGAAAGTTTGAGAGAAGTTTAAGATATACTGTATATATACTTTATATACTTTTTCTGGATACATCGTGACTGATATACTCTTGCATAAACTTTTGGTGGCTTGTTGTGACGTAATACAGTAAAAAATTAATAAGCATAGTAAAAAAAGTAATTTATCAGTGGTTTTATCATTACTCATTAGATTTTTGATTCTCCGACGAATTCTCAGGGTATTTATTAAAAAAGGTGAATTACGTTACGTAATTTTTTCAGTCGTACGAATGATAATGTGGCTTTTTGTGTGCAACACAGATCGGAAGAAAAATAAAACGTAGTAACTCTGTGCGATGTAAGATTTCTCACGTTATATGAACTCGTTTAGATGTAGCAATTAAGATACATCTAAAATAAATATTTTCGTTTACGACAATATCATTCATTCTACCTATATTTTCTTTTGTCATCTATGGTTTCATCCTACTATCACCATTTTCTAACGCCACCTTTCTTCCTTTTATCATTATCGCAATATCTTTTTCTATATATATATTAAACATTTCCCGTATTTAACTTTCGTCCTATATTGAATTCACAACCATTACAATCTTTAAGAAAAAGGGAATCAGAGATATCATTATCTTGTCCCATAACCTTACATTCAATTAAATGCTTCTCTACTTCATCATAAACTTTACTACGAGATTTTTTATTCATGATACTATACACCATATCTTCATTCTTTTTCCACGTAATAAATTCTTTATTTTTCTCTTTTTTTGAACTTTCTGGTAACTCTTTTCTTAATACCACTTTCTTATTATTCTCTTTTCTCTGAATTATAATGTTATCTTTAACTAAACGCGTACCTTTGTTATATCTCTTACTTTTTCACTTAACATTTTATACCATATCGGCTCATATCTCATTGATACATTTCTTTGTTTAAGAAAGTGACCCCATTTCATTACTCTATCTGTAAATGGTTATAAAACTTGCTCTAAAAATAGGACACCATTGTTCCTTAAACTAATTAAAACTTTCACCCAATATTCCTTCGATACCTCGATGTTTGCCAAATTGATCGTCTCTGATTTCATGATTACATAACATCTATATTTAACGGTAAGCAGTTGCAGGCAAATTTGCCTGCAATTTTAACGAAAATTCAGTTCTCATTTAACTTTTTAAAAAATAAAGCTATTATAACAAATTTTTTTTCCCTGATAGTTTAAATGACATATTATATGATGATAATCATTATATGTTTGAAAATCAAAATTAATTAGTTAAAAGGTTAGCATTTTTAATAACAACCGCGATCTTCAAACTTTTTGCAATTAATTTCGATGCATTCATCAGGATTTAATTGTAGCTATATGGTATCATAATACAATATGTAGAATTAGTCATGAAGAGCAACATTTATTATTTGAGCTTTTGAAATTATATGTAAATATTATATTAATATAATAAATTACTTACTATCTAAAATATTTGAATAATTTTTAAATAAAGAATTTAGTTAGTCTAAATTATATGTAAATATGATATAAATATAATAGAATTAAATAAATAACTTACTCTCTATATTATTGAATGAATAATTTTTAAATAAAGAATTTAGTTAGTTTAAATTATATGTAAATATTATATAAATATAATAGAATTAGTAAATATCTAATTCATTCTATGTACTTTTGCCTTCTTCATTACTTTGAGCCATTATTACTGAACAATTATATTCGAACTCTTCCTAAAAACAACAGGGTAAATATATGTTACTTTTTATTATACGCCATTATTAGAGTGTAATATGCAAAATGCAGATGATTGTAACCAGATTTTCTTGTAAAATGAAAAAGCAGTTTAAAAACTTCCCTTTAAAGAATCACGCCATTTAAAGATTAAAATTCCCTTTGAAAAGGGCTGACTATAAAAATTCTTACTAGTTATAAAGTTGCACCTTTTTTTTTTTTTATTCTGTAATTATCGATTTTTTTTCCGAAAAATTATGCGATCATGTAATCGCTGATCTTTTTTTTTTTATAATGCCAGCAGGATTATGTGACACCTTAAAATCATCTACTGGCATTATGCGTTTCCGATCAGAATTAAGATGCGTAGTAAATTTGCGCCGATCACTTGTTACCACTTTATGTATTGCTCGATTTACACAATTATTTATTCTTTTATGAGCCATAAAAATTCTTTTTTTGGGAAGAAATATGCGGAGACATCAAAATCAGCCAGATTATGGATACATGTTAGGATAGCACGCCTTCTTATTTTTCTTTTAATAGATGATAGTAAGTACAGAGTACTTTTATAAATTCTGTAATCGTCAAACATAAAGATTGTATATTAAATAAATAATCGTTATATTAGAATATAACTATAAAAATATATATATAATATACGAATTACGGATAAAGGTTGCATGGTTAAAAAGGTACTAAAAACTTTACAGAAAATCGATAGATTATAATCAGAAACCCTATTAATTTAATAGAAAAAGTCTCTAATTTCATACAATTTTTTAAATTTCTGTAATAATAGTATAATACTGTCCATAGGTTATCATAAAGTTGTCGAAATTATGATCTCATCAATGATTAATAGATAAATAAACTTATAAACCTATTTATTCTTGGAGCTGCGTTCTGTTACCGTTTACTCAGATATACACGGAACTAATCCATGCTCCACTAGTCCACTGTCACACCTCTAATAAAAATTTATAATAATTTCAAAATCTATAAAACGACCATATTTCATGATCATAAAATTTGTTATGATTATAAATCACAATAATGTTATGTGACTTCAAACTTAATAATTTTAATAAATGACAATAATAAAAATGAAAATCTCAGACTATTTTTCATGGATCTTCTATGGAATTCATAAAAATTTCATGGAATATAGCAAAAAAAAAAAAAAATTATTTCCGTTGGCGCGGCAATAAGTTTTATGGAGAGTTGGGAATAATAGGGTTTCCCTTCCCATGAAATAAATAATACTAATTCCCTGGAGCGTGTCAATCATTATTTTAACTATCTATATGAGACCGGAAATATAAAGTAAGCGAAGATTCCCGGTCATTTATAACGCTCGCAATTTTCAAAAATTAGTATGAAGGTAATCATGAGTACTTAGTGCGACAAGGAATTATTATATTTATAACTGCACAATTAAAATTTCAGATTTTTGTGGTTTATAGGTCATTACAAGACTTTTTTTTGGTGACATGCTTTGTTTATTAATTATTTAATATATATGAGTCCAACGAAAATAGATTGCCCCCTACTTAAATTCGCTACGCTTTTCGCCAATATTGTGGCTTAAGTCCATTGTTCTATCTTCTATTTAACTACTAAGATAGATATTATGTGTATGTAAAAAATTTAATTCGTGATCCACGAGTAAACTGCAAACGATCTGCAGAAAATGGGCGGCGTTAAATAAAAGAAGTTATTGAAAAAATTATTGTAAAAAACAAACTATTTGAAACTTTGGGATAAATATTATTAAAATATGTTGGTGTTGAATGGGTTTACATAAAGAGCACTATTTAGGAAATGAAAATCGGGTATCAGAAAAAAATTTACTAATGATCGACATAAATTTGCACCGAAATCATATAAATTTGACTCACGAGTTAATCTTAATAAAAAAAAATTTTTTTTTTAATTTTTATTACTCTTTTATGATTTTTACGTTCTTTTATCTAATCCTATCTAGATTTCTTATTGATTAAGATATTTGATTTGAAATGTAAATTCACTATTTTTTTTTCTTTTTCGTTCTTTTATATGACTTCATGAATTCGTTTATTCTTTTAGTTACCATCTAAATTCTCTCATTTTGGGAATTATTTGTTGTTATACGCTTCTTTTCTTTAATATACTTGTTGAAGAAAGTAATGATAGTGAAATGTTAATTGCGCTATCTTTCGGGGATTCTTTATTTTCATCTACAACGCAATCATCTTTTGTGATGATGACATCTATTACTGTCTTGTTTGTATCACCTGATGATTTAATCAAAGAATCCAATAATGATTTTGTATTGTTCGTTGTGTTACCTTTTATCTCTTCTTTATTATTATCTTAATTATTAATAATTTTAGATAATTCTCTAACTTTCCAGATGTGCTCTACGTATTCTTCTATTATCAATCCTAATGAATTTTACATACATTACATCGTATTTTTTCGAGTATATAGTAAAGACGACATGATATAATAAGTAAGGTATTATTAATTATGTACAGCCAGTACAGGTGCGATGGGTCATGGGTACGACGGCAATCGTACCGAAATACCATAGGAATTACAATATCACATGAAAAAAATATTTTAGGTATTATATTTTATTAGGTGCGTGATTTCGTACCGTACCTATAAGTTTAGTTGTACTATTTATACAATATATATCTTCCAATAAAATTGGCAAATGGAGAAAGCATACCGGTTAAAGTTTCATACCTAAAAAACAATAAAGTACAATACTGTAACAAATACGCAAAAACATACCGTAACCAAACGATAACACCTATTTTTTCATAATACTGATTCGCAAATCTCGTTCCTTTTTGTTTTCTAATTATTATACTTCCTTAATTGTTCGTCTTTGTGGTAAAATCCATTCGCTTTTATATCATCTACCTACAATACACAAAAAAAAAAATTTTTATACTATTTATCTGCTGCTTACCATTTAGTATTTAAATAATTTCTTAATTTTGATCCTTTTTTACCTGTCCATTTCTACTCTTTTGTATATCATAAAAACATGACATCACACGTTTTTGTTTTCCAGAAAATTATTAATATCTCGGATCTTTCGTTGCCTGATACGCAATCGAATCTCTCATTTGTGTTTCGTTCTGAATATTGACCTCTTGATCTTCGCCCAGTAAATCTGTTACGTAATTGGCCGACATTATGGGCTCTTTAACTGAATTATAGGAATTTGGCCGGCGCTAAGAAAATTCAACATGTGACATTTAATATAGGATTTTAAGGCGATACTAGACTGGTCCTTTGATCTGATTTCTTGTCAATTTTTCTATACTTTCTTTATTTCTTCTTATTTTATCGTTTTCTGCAAAATGATTTGTTACTTCTTCTTGATCATACTTTCCTTTTTTTCTTCGTGTTGCTTGATCCTTTAATACGACTGTTGCAACCAATTCGAAGGTCAAAATATCGTTATAACTATATACCATTTTTTCATAACTTTTTTGCTAAAAGTTCTAGTGTTTCAGGGTTTAAACGAAAAAAACATTGCGGATTTGCAGTTTTTCCAATAACACTGTCGTGAACGTTTTCTTAAAAATAATTTTTCAATAAAAAAGGTCGGTTCGAAACTTACCCACTTTTGAGTGCCCAAGTGGATCCTCCAGAGTCCAGAGTAAATGAGAGTTAATTTTTACAAAAGTTTATTGTCAACAAAATGTTAGTAGCATAATCAACTTCAAACTTAACGTTAAAGGAAAAGAAAGAAAACAGCGTTAAATAAAGAAATAAAAAAAAAAAAAAAAAAAAATTTAACATTAAAGAGTCAGTTTTATAAATAGAATAAAAGTGAACGTTTCTAAAATTCATATCAAGAAAGTTGATTATATTATCACAATGAACGAAATGTGTTTTTTGAAAAAGTATTTTTAAAAATTACGTAAAAAACGTAAAAAGAATTTCTAATATGAAACGATTTCAAAATGTCCACATATATTCCATGTAAATGGTAAATATGAACATTTCAACTTTTATGGTTTAAATGAAAATATGACAATAACAAAAATGGTAAATATTTGTTACATTTTGTAAATGATTATAAAATGGGGGGGAGGGAGAACAAAGTTTCATGACAAACGATCTTCAAAATTACTGCTGTATCACGATTAATGACAAAAATATATTAACAATCAATAAAATAATATATAAATTTTTAAAAAACTTTCTAAATAAAGAAATTTTTATATCATTGTTCAGTATCTTTTATTATTTATTTATTTATTTATTTTTAAATATTATTAAACGATACATTATATCATTATATATTAAATGTTTAATTGTATTTACAGATTCGTCTTTTACATTTTTTACGTTCATTTTTTTCTTTTTGACGTTATTAACCGTTATTTCCCTTTTTAAAATATAATTAATTGTTTATTAGTAAGCTTTTTTACTCGTAATTTTTTAAAATCATTGTCTCCAAAAATGGTGGTGGTTATGATGGTTGTTATTCCTATATACGTGGTTATTCCTATATATGAAAATGATAAATCGATCGTCAACGTTTCATAATTTCGCTCCATCCCGCAATTTTTTAAAAAAAATTTTCTAATAAAATTTTAAAACCAGCTTAAAATTTTAACCCTTTTTGTTAAAAATTTTTTTTTGGTTAAAATTGAATATAATAAAATTCCTAGTTCTGGGGTTAAAATTGTTAATACATAAGAATATTAAGAATATCGTATGTTTCCTAAATAATTTTTTTAATAAATTTTCTATTTAAAATTATTTAAAATTTAGTAATAATGTAAAAAATAACACATGCTTCAATACATTATAAATATTTTTAGGTTATAACCATAATATCGATTTCTTTTTATCGATAACAAGATAATTTAAAAAATTATTATTAATTTAATATTATTCACTATTTTCAAAGAAACTATGTTCTTTATTTTCAAAGAAAATCTGTTCTTTAAGAACCGAAAATCGAAATAATAATAAATAATGATAAATATTCCAAAAATGTGTTATGTTGACATTTTTTTATTACTTCTATTTTTATACCTTTTTTTTCTCAAATATTAATTCAAGATTTCTTGTTTCGAGAATTTCCAAAATTTTTTTTATTAACAAATTATTTTTATCAAAGTCGTGTATCATACATGTAGTTTAATCGTTAAATACCTAAAATCGGTTATTACATTATTAAACTTTAATAATATTTTGAGGATAAAAATCCCTGGATAAATCCGTCAATGTAACGTGACACCATGCGTTTTATTTAATATTATTCTTTTTATCCCCGGATTGTCCTACATTACAAATTACATAAAGACTAAATTTCGTGGATCCTTGTATTTTAATTATTATCAATTAGGTTTCGTATAATTTTTTTTGGAGATAATTTAAGTTCTAAAAATAAATTTCATATAGTTTTAAACCAAGAATATGAATATTATTTCCAAAAAATTTTTGACAACAATTAAATTTCCAGCTAAGTCAATTTTTTATGATTTTTATAAGATTGAATATTTTAAAAAAAAGGTATAAATAGGATAGCCATGACTTTCAAAATTAAAACCAGAAAAAAAAAAATATTTTCCAAAAAAAAAAAGATATCTTATATTTTTTGACGTTTGATACGTCTTAATATTCTTTCATTTTTTTTTTCTGGCGTTTGATACGTCTTATCATATTATTTATTGGAAATCAAAAAAATTTCAAAAAAACCAAAAAAAAAAAATTTGCATTTTCCCATTCTTTCATATCGCACCTAAACAATAAAAAAAACTTTTAATCATGTCCAAATCAAAATCCATCCTAAGTTTAATTTTATTATTATTCTTGTTTCTTGAAATCGTTTACTCTTCAACTTTTAATATCGTTACGGATAAAAAAGAATTCAAACCATCAACCGAACTTTATGGTGTTTTCAGTCAAAGAGAAAAAGATCTTGAACTTGGAGGTTACCATAAAGCAGAAATTTATTTTAAAACTACCGTACCCTCAATAAATCCCGATCAAAGTGGCGTAAAAAGTGTCGATTGTAGCGATGGTAATAAGATTACTCTTAACCTAGATGACGGAAATGCTATCAAGAACGTTAATAATTGGCCAAATACCGTAATGTTAATGGTTTCCCATAAGTGGGACTGTTTTAAAAAGAATGAGACCCAATTTTTTTTGACAAAAAATAAATCTATCGATATACCTAATAAAAAAGTAACCTTTACTACGGAAAGTTGCGATGTTTCTGATTGGGCTAAAAATTTTGCCATTGACCTTACCTGGGTGGAAAGAAAAAGAAGTAGTAGACGTAATAGTATTAACAAAAGAATCCCACTTCCAACAATTGATAAAAGTGGTACATTGAATTTAAACGTTTTATTCGATGAAACAACAGGAAAATCATCAAAACCCAACCTTTCACTTTTTTCCAATTCCGATATTTCTGTATTATGTACAGATTGTTTTATGAAAGGTGAAGCCACAATTTCTGCTAAATTTGCTGGTAGTTTTTCTCTTTCCGGTGTAAAATTAGATGAAGCTACAGTTTCATTAAGTGGAAGTGCCTTAATGAATCTTGATCTTTTAGTAAATGGTACTATTGCAAGTACATTTAATTTTGATACCGAACTTATTTCTGTACCTTTACCCGGTTTTCCTGGTATACCAGGAATTTTCAGTCTTGGTCCTTCAATAGATCTTGTTGTTGCATCTAAAGTAGCTGCAAATATAACAGGTTCTCTTAGTTTTGGTGGTGATGTTGGTTTGCCAAGTTTTAACGCTAATGCTTCTTTTGTTGATATAACTAAACCAACATTTATACAATCAGGTTTTGTACCTGAATCAAATTTACATAAACCAAAATTTGGTATTTCTTCTGCTTCCGTTGATATTAATGGTTCAATTAAACCACAATTAGCTTTTGGTGTTGATGTACTTAAAGGAAAATTTGAAAAGAAAGTTGGTTTTCAAATCGTTGGTTCTCTTGATAATAATATTTCTTTTGGTAACAAAGCTGCTTGTACAAGAAAAACCCAACCCCGTCTTAAAACTGATATTAATGGTAATTTAGGTTTTTTTGTTAATGAAAAAGGTTTCCCTGTTGTGAATTTCCCTACCATAAATTTAATAGATAAATGTTTATAATAATAATTATTTTATAATATAGTATACTTTATTTACGCTCTCTTTTTTTTATAAAGTAGTGGTAGTAACATTTCCTACTGGATAGGCGATGAAACTCAAAATGAAAAATTATACTAAAAATACTTAATATTAGTCCTTTTTAAAAAAAATAAATAAGAAAAATAATTAAATTATAATAAGATCTTTAAAAAATTGTAATTTCACAGTCCTACAATAAATAAATAATTCAATAAAATAATTAAATAATAATTAAGATCTTTAAAATTATTACAGTATTTCAATAAAAAAATTTCATCAAATTTTTTAATAATCTTATTTTTTTTTTGGTAAAATAATTAAAAAAAATTTTATTTATATAAATAGAAATTTTAATTAAACACGACAGCACTTCGGATTTCGGAAGCTACAAAAATGTTTGTTGCATTCGCCGATCATAGGCGCCCTGCGTAGTGTTTCGATCCGTTGCCGGGTTCAACCGGATAAACCCGGATAATTTTTTTTTTTAGGTATCCGGATAATTACGGTTTTTACCCGGATAAATATCAGGATAAAAAATGGTCAGATTGACCCGGAATCCGGATAAAAAATAAAAAAAAATTTTAAAAAAATTTAAATCATAACATTTCATATATTTTCAGATGAGTTAAAATATTATATATGATTACTTTAAATATTTTTTTTTATTGTTTTAATTATTCGTTAACCACAAGGAAAAATTTTAAGTTATGTCACAAGATTTGTCACATAATTTGAATTGAATATATTAAATTCGCGGCATTTATTATTGATTTGTTTTCAGATATAATGTGTTCTGTGGGTGGTGTTATTCCATGCTTAACAACAGATCCATCATATTTATAACTTTTTGTACATTTTCTCCATTATCTGATATAAACTGACAATATGCACGTATTTCTCCATTTTCACTTTGTTTTCTAACAAAATATTCCCATACCCAACTCACTTTTGTTTGTGGTTTAGTCATTGTAGTAGTTAGTTTAAAGGGATTTGGATTATTTGATATTTGACTTGTTAATTCAAGTATAGTTAACTTATTTTACTAGCACTTATCATCCTTTATTTTCCAAGTGTCCTAGATAATTTTTTAGGTCATCCTCTTTTTAGTATTAGAGTAATTTCTGTAACTTCATCACTGGACTCTTCATTTTCACTTAGAGTAATATAATCTTGAACGTTACTGTTTTCCATAATTTTATGAATTATTTTCCACTATTCAAAAATATGTTTCAAGTGAAATTACAAAAAAATCCAAGAAAATGATTACAGTATTTATTTATTTTGGTTAGGGCTTAGGACTACATTAACTAACTGTACTTAAATTTATAAATAAAAAAATAAATGCTATAAATAAATTTTTATATCAATCCCACGAAATTTAATTGTCATAAATTTAATAAATGCCACGAATTTAGTAGTTAATTAAATGCCATATATTTAATTAATTAAATGCCACATTAAATTAAATGAATGCCACGAATTTTATTTATTAAAAATGATCTACAGTAAAAAAAATTTAAATAATTTTATCCGGATTTCGGTTTCTACCCGGATATATCCGGATTTTTATCCGAGTCGGATAATCCGGATAGAAACCGGATATTTTTTTTAATTTATCCGGATGACGGTTTCTGCCCGGATCGAAACACTAGCCCTGCGTACTTATATAAATACTGTGAATAAATTTTTTTTTTTTTTTTTTAAGTTTGTATATTTAAACTTGCATTTTTTTTTTTAAAAAAAAAAATATTCAGATTTATAAATTTATGCTTTTGATGATTATTACCTGCTATTGTAATAAATTCGATTAAATTTAACGACGTTGTGGTGTAGTTTATGATCTACCAACTACCAAGTTCTACCGTCTAACTAATTTTGGAAATTAATTTCCTTATTAAAGTGACGCCTAAGCTAAAAAAAAAACGCCCAATAATTCAATTTTTATTCTTGTAAAAAAAAAAAATTGAATATGAATAAGGAAAGTGAAACCCAAGTCCCAATAGAATCTGTATTTAATAATTTAAATATATCTAATAACTCGAAAATCATCAACCATAAAAATTGTTATAACGAAAAATTTAAAAGACCATGGTGTAAAGAATGTGTTCCTTCTTGTATAATTGAAGGATGGACTAGTGAAAATCATGATATTGATGAATTTATTAAGGATACAATTTATGATTCAAGATTACGTTATATTGATACTAATTATTATCCATTATTTCTTGAATGGGTACCATATGATAAATTTGAAGATATAAAACAAATTGGAGTGGGTGGATTTGCAAAAGTATATTCTGCGACATGGATTGATGGTCAAGTAAAATATAAAAGACAAGATGATGGAAGTTGGAAAAAAGTAAATTCTGAACCTATAAAAGTTGCTTTAAAAATGTTAAATGGATCACAAAATATGTCAGATGAATATTTAAATGAGGTAATATATATATATATATATGAATTTTTTTTTTTTTTCGTTAAATAAATATGAAATATTTATTTACTAATAAATTAAATATTTTTAAAAAATAGCTTAAAACTCATTGGAAATTAAATAAATCTTATAAGAGTTTATTAACATTTTATGGAATGACTAAAGATCCTGAAACTAAAGAATTTATAATGATTACACAATTTGCAGAAAAAGGAAATTTGAGAAGTTTTCTTTCAAGTAATTTCAATAATATTTTATGGAAAGATAAATTATATTTATTATTTAAATTAATATTAGATCTTGATACTTTACATAAAAAAGGTTATTTTCATAAGGATTTTCATAGTGGAAATATATTATTGATTGATGATTGGTCTTATATTTCAGATTTTGGATTATCTGGTTCATCAAATGAACAAAAATCAGATAATAAAATATGTGGAGTATTACCATATATCGCTCCAGAAGTTTTGAATGGTGAACCATATACTTTGTCTTCTGATATTTATAGTTTTGGTGTAATTATGGCTGAATTATCATCTGGTAAACCTCCTTTTCATAAAAGAAAACATGATGCTACTTTAGCATTAGCAATATGTAATGGTCTCAGACCAGAATTTGGAAAAGGAACTCCTGAAGTTTATAAAAAATTAGCTTATAGTTGTATGAATTCCACTCCAAATCAAAGACCAACAGCAAATGATTTATCTGGTATATTAATTTTTTGGTATGATTGTATTCATAATGAAAGTTATAAAGAAAGAGAAAAATTCGGTTATAAAGTAAAAGATATTAAAGCAATGTTTGAAGAAGCTAATAAAGAAATACCAAATATTTCAACTTCATATGAGATGGACTCTGATGCTGCTTATACTAGTAGAGTATTTACATTTAATAATTTATCAAAATCTAATAATTCACCTATCGTTACTTCTTACTCAAATAGCAGTGAAGAAAATGATAAAGGTAATATTTTTTTATTATATAAATAATTAAATCTCTATAATTATTAATTTTATTATTTAAATTAAATAGATTGTCAAGATTCTCAATTATTTGATTTGGAGATTTCTTAAAAAGTAAGGGGAATTTTTAAAGTTTAAAATATAGTAGAATGTGTAGTCGTGCAATACGAAAGAATATTATTAATCATTAAGCATAAGACTAATTTTAACCCGGGATGATTTAACCTGGTAATTTTATATGAAAATTTATTAATTATAAAATCACATGGTCACGACTGTCTTAACATTTCACATATTATTTATTTGTTTATCAAAACATCACCTTTAACGTTTCGAACTTTGACCTTTTAACGCAGTATTTTTTTTAGCTTTATTTATTTGTTTGAATCACCGGGTGATCATTACCATTGGCCAGAATTATCAATTTTTACCGGCACTATATTTTTTTAATGCTGGTCGATTGTCATAATTTCAGTCACCGGTGATCATCACCCCAGTGATAGTTAGAAAAATTCTATTTGTTTTGTCTCTTACTAATTAACCATTTTCTTTCTTTTTTTTATGTAGGTTCTTTGGCATCTTAATAAACGGTAAGTTTCAGGTTTTTCAGAATTTCGGATATCTATTTTCTTTACAGCAACTAACCAGTCCTTTTTCTTTCTTTTTTGGTCGGGTTTCTTCTTGGGTTTCTTCTTGGGTCTCCTGGATTTCTTCTCGGGTTTATGCTTGTATTTCTTTGGGTTTCTTTTCAGGTTTTTCGTGGGTTCCGGTTGGGTTCTCTTTTCTTTTCAGATGGTTTTTTTTTTGAGTGGTTTTCTCAATTTCGTTTTTTAAACTTGAAGTATTGTTTGATCTCTTTATTTGGACTTTGGTTCATTTCGATATTCTTTTGCTTGTCATTGATTTCATTTGATTTCATCAATTTTCTATCTTTTGAATTTGATTTCTTTTTCAATTGCTTCATTTTCAAGTTTGTTTACAATATTTATTTTCATCATCTCTTTCTTTATTTTCGCTTATCTTCATTCCATTTTCTTATTTTTTGTCCTTCATCATTTCCCTTCACCCTTTATTTTTCTCTTTATTTTATTTATTTTTTTTTTAACATTATAAATGTATAACTTTAGCTTTAGTTTAACTTATAAATAAAATTTTATTATTGTTTTTTTATATTTGTGAAAAATAAAATTAGCCAATTAACCCTGTAAAAAAAGTCAATCCGCTTTTTATATTCCATCTTTTTTCCGTAAAAGGCTCGTATTTCCGGAATTAATAACCTTATATCGTAGAATTTATCGAATTATTTACATTTACCATGAATGAATCCATGAAAAACTCATTTTTATGGAGTTTTTACAGAAATAACGGATAAAATTTTTTATAGGGCAATTTGAAATATTAAAAATATTAAATTTATAAATTATTTTTTATGGGGTAATTTAACTTGGGTTATATAACCCGGGGGGTAAGTTAGCAAAACTCAATTATTAAATTATTAAGTATTTATTATTTAAATTGCAGGTGATGAGAATAGTGCCGATAACTGAGCAAATTGAGTAACCTTTTACATAGAATTTTATTAGCTCTATCCATCCGTCTATAACTTTTTTTTTAATTTGAGACAATATATTAACTTTTGCTTCTATTAATTATTCAATATGTATATTTTTTAAGAATATTAATATATTTTATTTATTATTTTATATAAGTTTACTACTTTTCAGATTATCAAAATGATAATTAAACTGGTAGTCGGAATTATTTTTTTTTTCGTGATATAAACGTGGCCGCCCGATGATTAGAAACTAACTATTTTTTTTAAAAAAAAGATATCTTGTAAGTCAACATAAATTTTCTTATTTCTGCTGAATGGAAAACGAAACCCTCAAGTAAAACGAATCTTTATTACAAACTATAATTATCTATTGGGACAATTAATATATTTGATATATACTGCCAGAATCTCTTACCTTTAACGTGTATTTTTAATGACTAAACACAAACGCTGTGATTGCTTATTTAAAGTAGATTTATTATTCACAACTCATATTTTCTTTGTTATTTTTGTGTAGCATTTTTTTGTACATTATTGTTCTTGCTGTCTTATTTTTAATCTTACCATCAAGATGTAATAATTTTAAACTTTATTTACGAACTCAAAGGAATAATGATACCGGCATAAGACTTCTTTTAGATCCATCCTTATAGCCTCATCATACCAATAAACTAAACTCCGTGTTGCACTATTTAAAGGTGTTTCATCACATAGTTCTTCTGATGTCACTGAAGAAATAGGTCTAGAGAGACCACACTTCAAAGTTCAAAATTTGTTCAGTGACTTGATTTCTATCAAGACCAGACATTTCATCAGATGGGGCTTCCTCGCTATCGGTACAAGTGATAATCTTCATGTCGCGTGATAAGTTATCCTCAATAGACAATAGATGATGAAGCATATGGAAAGCCGTCCTTGACAAAAGGTTGATATCCAGACATCATGTTTGATAATGTCTAGACATCATGTTTATATATGTAGAATAATGTTTGTACATCATTCAACATGATGCTCAAGCATCAACCGACATGATGTCTTAGATATCATGTTACCAAATATAGTAAATTTTATTTTGTGTAACTCATAAATATACTATATTTGGTAATTTGATTAGCATGATGTCTAGACATCATGTCGGTTGATGTCTTTCACATCATGTCAAATAATGTACAAACATCATCCTACATATATCAAACATGATGTCTAGACATACCATCATGATGTCTAAATATTATATTTCATGATGTTTGGACATCAACCTTTTGTCAAGGACGGCTTTCCATAGAAGCAGAGATATCACCATCTGTGCTAAGTGATAATTTTGAATCGTGATCGTTACCAGTAACGCTTCTAGTACCACATCGTTACTTTCGGTAACAGGTGTATGAAGAAAACCAGGTACATCAACAGCTGATAGCCTGATACCATTACCTCTAGAATATCATTTTGTTTACCATTCTGTGGCTGTCCAGTTACAACACCTTGTTCCTTCAAGCTCTTTATTTTTTTGCTCTAGTTCCTCAACTCTAGCATCATGCATCTTATTCTCTTTAACAGCCTGTTTTAGAAGCTCGGCATTCCTGGCCTTAAGTTCAGCTCTCTCAGCCTCAGCTCAGCAAATTTCCATCTAAGATCAGGGATCTCAGTATTCTTATCTTTAAGCTCATCATTCTCAACCTTAATCTCAGATTTAATTCCCTTAATGAATTGTTGGATTGAGTGTTTGGCATGATCAATAAAATTTATACAGGAATGTAAATCATTCAATATTATGTTGTGAGTGTAAAACTGTGAGACTTGCTTTATTAAAAAAAACAAATACAAATCAAAAGCTAACCTGTGATACATGCTGTAATTTCGTTTTATAAAGTGAAATATTTCTATACTAATACATAAGGACTATATCAATTTTTTGCTTGTCTTTACTATCTATACTAACTAGTGTTTGGATCCGAATCCGGTTTGACCCGGGTCAATCTGGATAAAGTGTGATTATCTGGGTAAAAACCGCGGTTTTATCCGGATTTCGTCGGATTTTATCTGGATTGCAGATTTCGGATAAACTGTTGTATTTCATGAACTAATGATCAGAACTTTATGATTTATGGCTTGTTTGAAAGCTCTTAGTGTTACAAATACGATCATAGTACTCAAATTTGTTGATAATTGGATTTAATTCCACCTTTTACAAAATTAAAGTTTTTATCCGGATTGAGTAATTATTTTATCCGGATAACGGTTTTTATCCGGATCCAAACACTAATACTAACATATTATCCCAATATTAGTTCTATGATCCTGTCTAATAATCAATATTCTGGATAATATAAAACAGTTGTTATTTATACTTATACAAGATATACAATAAAAATAACATTAACCTTATGCCAAAAATGTTGTTTACAGTTCGTTATTCTAGTAAGACCTTCAGAAATCTGTACGAAAAAATATCATTTGTTTGCAAAGTCCTGGAATTGCACAACTGAAAAAATTATATTTCATTCAAATCTTATTAGCGTAAGTCTCATCTGGAACTTTAATACCAATTTGCCAACGCTTCTTTCAAACTGCAATATGTCAGTTTCTTTTAAACGAGTTCAGACATAGAGAAAATAATATTACGGCTTGGGTGGTCATAAGAAAAAAAGTTGATAGTACATCGTACAGAGTACTGCGCTAATTTCACTGTTGCACACATAGCTACATTAGTCAAATACAGAATCAGATCGGATTGTTTTCCCTGATGAAAATTTTTTTTCGTTCATTTATACGTATTTCATTACAACTTGCTATTGATAACGCAGTAAAAATCTCAAAATTATCAATGATAACATATGGACTAAAGTGAAAAAATGACGTCATAAGTGTAATTATTATTCATTATCACCTACCTCCAATAAAGTACATATATACCTCAAAAGCTCTCAACCTCCTTTTAACTTACTTATTTTATCACTTCTATTAGTTCTATAGTTATATCATTGAAATGGAAATATCATTCAATTGTTATGTTTTAGGGGACTCTTATGTCACTTTTCCAATCAACATTTACAATGAAAAGGGTACAAGATATATATATATATATATACCACGCTTGGTAATCATAGATATAACCCTAACATTTTTGATGTTAGAATTATCAAGGATTTTATTTGTCATAATGCTGATATTTCTGTTATACATAAAATAATACTTTGGAAAGTTGATATCAAGAAGAAAGAGATCAAAGATAGAAATGTTTCTATCAAGAAAGATGTGCAAAAGCTTTATAGAAAGGAAATGGAATTTGAACAACTGTTTGAAACCTATTGAGATGATCATCATCATCCCTACCACTGGTAAGTATTTGTAATTTTAAGAATGACTGTCTTCCAAATACAATGTTAATACAATGTTTTGACATTAACTATCTTTTGCTTAGACTTTAAAAAGAATCTTTTACAGCAGATCATGTTACTATATATTATAGAATGGCAAAAAATAATGTTTGTTACAGTGAAAACGTTTTATTCTGCAAATAATTTCACAAACTAGAATCTACAGAACAACTCATAAAAGCCCTGCACTGCATGTTAACTTTTTAAAGGTATCTATCTAATATTTTTGATATTCTTTCCTCTTGTAAATATAACTTAATTCTTAGGATTATTATAAAACAAACTTTGCAATGTTACAAACTGGTAAACTAGTTTCACGATGATCCCATTATTATAAACATTACATCATGTAGATCATTTATCCTCCTAATTATTTATCCGATCATGTGATTAACTGCTTGGTTTCCTGGGGCTACACCATTTAGAATTGATTGGGGATTATTTTTTGTAGTATTTATTTTTTGTTATTTTGTTTTTTTTTGTATTAGGATAGATTGAACTCTGTTATAGAGGCGTTTTCATGGTGCATGAACATTTCTAGGTATTTCCTAGAAAGGATCTTTGTCTATCCTTAATAAAGAGATGTGTTACAGTTTTTTTTAAAAAAAAGCAAATATATTGTGATTTTTATGCTTCATTTCCACTGATTGGAATGACCTTGAGATGAGCATTTAGCTCAGCTGTAAGTCCATATAAATATATGCTTTTTTTGTTTTGATTAAAATATAAGTATAAACATTTACATAATACAAATAGTTATTGAACATCGAATAAATTTAATAGCCTTTTTATTGAAACCTCAAAACAAAAAAAAATAAAAATATAGTTATTATAATAATAAAAATTTTTCCAAAATTCCTAGTACTATATATTTTTTTAATAGATTATAGAATATATTCATACTTTATTTAGTAAATACTATACTAAAGACTTTCATTTCAATGAATTAATAGCTATTTATAAACTGTACTATAATCCATTAATATGGTTGAATCTAATTTCCAGCTAAATTTTTTAATCCTTTTGTTTCTTGTTTTAATTCTAATTTCAATTCATCAAAATTCTTTCTTAATGAATTTATATCTTCTGCCATCATATTAGAATTTAATTGAATTCTGGTTCCTTTTTTGGAATTAGTAGCAAATTTAAAAATTTTGTATTTATCAAGATTATAAGAATTCAACTTAAGAATATTTTCAATCATAAGGCATTCTTTTAACTCTTTATTTTCCTGAACAATTTTCTTTAAGGAAGAAAATTTTTTGTTTAATTTTAATTCTAATAATACATCATTATATTTTAGAAGAATATTTTGAAATTCTTTAGTATACTTGTCAACCAATTCAGAGGTTTTCACACTTCTTGTAGAACCAATAGTATTTCTTTCCTTACTAATAGAGCTTTCTAGGTGATTACAACAATTTTGCAGTTTTTTAATAGCTTTTTCTTGCAAAGTTAAGAAATCATTCTTGGCTTTTAGAAAATTATTAACTTGTTTGAAAACCCATTTTTTTCTATTGGTATTATAAGAAGCTGAAGTTCTTGATAATTCTTGTTTGAATTCCTCCATCTCTTTTTGTTTGACTTCTTTTTCTTTATGAATCTTATTAGTATTTTTTCCACTAGATAATATAATTAATAATTTTTTGTCAATTTCATTCATTTCTTTTTTTAACTTTTTAATACGCTCATAATCAAGGTTAATTAATCTTTGTTCTGATTCATCTACTTTATCTTCTTTTATCTGTAAAGCTTGTGTTAATTGTATTTCAATTTGTTTTTCATTATTCAATTTTTGTTCCAATTGAGCAATTTCTCTTTCCAACTTGACCTTTAATTTAATAGTAAGCTTATGTTCTTGTGAGAGACCTATTACCACATCATGCAACCTAATTTTTTCTTGTTCTATTTGTTCATAATTAACTTGAATCTGATTTAGTTTAATTTCTAATTGCTTTTTTTGTTTAATTAAGCTTTCTTTTTGAGATTTTAATTCTTGTATATTAGCTTCTATTTGAGTTAATTTTTCATGCAAATCAATTTTTTCTTGCTCTAACTGGCTGATTTGAGTTTGAACTTGCTGGTTAATCAGATTGTTTTGCTTCAATTGTTCAGTTAAATTGCTAGCTAAACTTTGCTTTTCATTTTGCAGATTAATAATTTGGGTTTGAAAAATATTTTCTTTTTTTGCAAATTCTTTAATTTGTGTGGCTAATTCAAGTCGCAATTTTTGATTATATTGCTCAAAATTAAAATTTCTTTGTTGTAAATCAAGATTTTCTTCTTCTATTTGCTTATAATAAATTTGTATTTCTCTTAACTCATTTTGAGAACTTTGAGAACTTTGATAAATTTCAACAATTTTTTCTAATTTATGAAATTGCTTCTCAGCATCATCATTTTTTTGTTCCAATTCAAAATATTTCAATTCTTGAGAACCATCTAGAATTTCATTTAATTCTTTACTAGTAAAATCAAGTAAATGACTTGTATAGCATGCTTTTGGATGAGATTTTACAATAAGATTATTATGCTCAATTGGTGCATTTATGAATTCCATAATATTGCTTTTTAATTCTTCATTAATTTCATTAATTTTCTTATTATGAGAAAAAATCCAATTTTCAATAATATTTAAAACTTCTGTAGAAGATGGCCTTTTTGATGGATCTTCATTCCAACATTGTTTCATTAAATCTACATAACATTGTGGAGTATTTTCAATAATTTCAGGACGCTTACCTTTACAAATATTTAAAGCAAGTTGAAGGTCATGTGCTCTATCATTAAATGGTGAAATTCCAGATGTAAATTCCCACATAATCATAGAAAAACTATAAATATCACTAGCCTGAGTATAAGGTTGACCTTTTAAAATTTCTGGTGCCATAAATGGTATAATACCATAAATATTATTTTCTTTTAAAAAAGATTTTACAAGTTGATATAATCCTAAATAATCACTAATATAAATTCTATACATATCTTCTGTATATTTATTACATAAAATATTACCATCATGAAAGTTATAATGAATAAGACCTTTCTCATGAATATTATTAAGGCCAACAATAATTTTATATAAATTGAATAATCTTTGCTCCCAATTTTTTGTTATTTCTACTAAGCATTCTCTTAAATTACCCTTATTTGTATATTCCATTATTAATATATAGTTTGAAGCATCTGGAATTTTTGTAAATCCATATATTCTAATAATTTCATTTGAATTAATAATATTCCACTATAAAAATAATATTTAGTAAGTTAGTATAAATAAATTGTAATATTCTGAAAAAAAATAAATTTAATCATACTTCATTTAAAAATTCGTTTAAACTTTCATCTGAATTATTAAGATAATTGAAAGATTTAAGAATTACTTCATAAATAATATATTTAGCTTTATAGATAGTCCCAAATCCTCCCTTATCAAGATATTCAATATTTTCAAATTTATCATAAGGAATCCATCTTAATTTATTTATAAAAATAAATTGATCCATAATTTTACTTCCACTAGTACCATAACTTTAAAAATAAAAATAAAATTATATTAAAATTAAATTTATTAAAAATTTAATATTAAATATATTAATCACACTTACTCTAAATAAAATTGTAAAATTTTGATATAAGTAAATAATTAATTTAAATTTTATATTAATATAATAGAATTAAATGAATAACTTACTCCCTATATTATTGAATAAATAATTATTTAAATAAAGAATTTAGTTAGTTTATATTATATGTAAAATATTATATAAATATAATAAATTACTTACGATCTAAAATATTTGAATAATTTTTTAAATAAAGAATTTAGTTAGGTTAAATTATATGTAAATATTATATAAATAGAATTTTTCTAAGGGGAGTAATGATCCCAGTGACTGAAATTATGATGATCGACCGGCATTAAAAAAATATAGTGCCGGTAAAAATGATAATTCTGGCCAACGGTGATGATCACCCCGGTAATTTAAAGTAAAAAAAATTTACCATCTAAAATATTTGAATAATTTTTTAAGTAACAAAGTTAGTTTAAATTATATGTAAATATTATATAAATATAATAGAATTAAATAAATAACTTATAACTTACAAACTAAAGAAAATATTTAAATAAATTTTAAATAAAGAACTTAGTTAGTTTAAATTATAAATAAATATTATATAAATATAATAAATTACTTACGATCTAAAATATTTGAATAATTATTTAAATAAAGAATTTGGTTGGTTTAAATTATATATAAATATTATATATAAAATATAATAGAATTAAATAAATGACTTATAACTACCAACTAAAGAATATGTATGAATAATTTTTTAAATAAAGAATTTAGTTAGTTTAAATTATATGTATATATTATATAAAATATAATAGAATTAAATAAATAACTTATAACTTACCAACTAAAGAAAATATTTGAATAATTTTTTAAATAAAGAATTTAGTTAGTTTAAATTATATGTAAATATTATATAATATAATAG